TTTATTTGAATGGCAGAGGAGAGAGAGAGAAAGAGATACATCAATCTTCCATCAGCTGGTTCACTCCCCAAACAGTTGCAATGGCCAAGGTTGGGCCAAAGCTGAAGCCAGGAGCCTCAAACTCCATCCAGTTCTCCCAAGTTACTGCAGGGGACCAAGCACTTGGGCCATCTTGCACTGCTTTCTCAGGTGCATTATCAAGGACCTGGGTCAGAAGTAGAACAGGGGCCGGCGCTGTGGCGCAGTGGATTAACACCCTGGCCTGAAGTGCTGGCATCCCATATGGGCACGGGTTCATTTCCCAGCTGCTCCACTTCTGATCCAGCTCTCTGCTGTGGCCTCAGAAAGCAGTAGAAGATGGCCCAATTCCTTGGGCCCTTGCACCCACATGGGAGACCCAGAAGAAGCTCCTGGCTCCTGGCTTCAGATCGGCGCAGCTCCGGCGGTTGCAGCCAATTGGGGAGTGAACCAGCAGATCTCTCTCTCTCTCTCTCTCTCTCTCTCTCCTCTCTCCTCTCTCTCTCTCTCTCTCTGCCTCTCCTTTCTCAGTGTAACTCTGACTTTCAAATAAATAAATGAATCCTTAAAAAAAAAAAAAAAGTGGAGCTGCTGGGACTTGAACCAGTGCCCCCATAGGATGCAGGTGTTGCAGGTGGTGGCTTAACCTGCTGTGCCACAACACCAGCTCCCGTACTAGCCTTTTTCACCATAGAGTTCTCAGTGCCTACATATGACCAGGCACTTAATAGTATGTGATAAATACTTGTTAAATGATCCACCAAGTGATTGAATAAGTCAACAGATGGCTGTGTTACTGGTGTTGTGCATACCATTTAGTGGAATTGACTGTGATAAGAAGCTTGGGTGGTTTTCCCCAGCTTCTACTAATGGATATACTCTTATGAAGAGATGAATGGGCACATTAATCTGTTCATTCTTTCAGTAGATATTTATTGAGTTCCTCCCTTGTGCTAGTCATGAAGATGCAGTGGGAACAAGACTGGTGGCGTTCTTGCCTTAAGGAAATTTGTAATCTAGCAGAGACCTCAGACTTCAGGTAATCAGTGCCGTGTGAAGTTTGTATGGGGGCACAAGACGGCAAAGCAAAATCCTAAAATTAGTTTCATGGTCTCACTTTGTTAGTACGGCCACTACTATCTTTCTCTTCTGGCTGGACTTCGTGGCCAGTGGAAAGACACTCCTAACCGCTACCCTGACCACTGCCTACGCGTTCACCCACCGCCCTCACAGGCTCCCAGGCGTCATCCAGCCATTCCTTGTCCTCATGGAAGCGGAGATCAGTGCTTGCTCGATGGAAAATCTTTCCAAGAGTTCTAGGGAGGCACGAATCTGAGACCATGTTAGACGGCAAGGGGTGTAAGATAGCTAATCATCCCATCCTTTGAGAGAGTGAGGCAGTTTAACCATTGCACATAACAGCTTTCTAATGGGAACTAAAGATAAAACCAGAGCACATCTTCAGGGCAAGTCATTGCTCTCATTTAGATTTTCTTGTATTCATTATCCAATATAAGTTTTATTTTTTTTTTAAAAGATTTATTTATTTATTTACTTGAAAGGCAGATTTACAGAGAGGCAGAGGCCGAGAGAGAGGTCTTCTATCCACTGATTTACTCCCCAAATGGCCCCAATGGCCAGAGCTGCACTGACCCGAAGCCAGGAGCCAGGTGCTTCTCCTGGTCTCCCATGGGGTACAGGGCCCAAGCACTTGGGCCATCCTCCACTGCACTCCCGGGCCACAGCAGAGAGCTGGCCTGGAAGAGGAGCAACTGGGTCAGAACTGGCGCCCCAACCGGGACTAGAACCCGGAGTACTGGCACCGCAGGTGGAGGATTAGCCTAGTGAGCCACGGCGCCATCCTATCCATGATAGTTTGCTGAGTGGTATGACGAGGAAAGTGAAGTCTCGGTGGTGAGAAGTGGGCCAGGGCCCTGAGAGGGTAGCGCACTGCAGGCAGAGAAAGCAGCAGGTGCATCCTGTCTTCTGGAAATGTACATTGTACTATGGCTTCTCTTGCATTGTCAGGGGAGTGGCAGAGGATAACACGGGAAGACAGACGGGGTCTGACCATAAGGGTTTTCATGGCCACAGTTCCATTTTAGAAAGTATATTCTTTCTGTATTTTGGGAAAAGACTTGGAGAAGGGAGGCTGGGATAGGGAACAGTTAGAAAATAATGCCAGGTGATGATGGTATATATTAGAAAGTGATAAGTAGCTTCTAGAAACTGGGCAGAATCAGATACAGTATATGCTGGGATTTTTTATTTCATAATCCCTTAAATTGTGTCCAACAATTTATTGGCATATAATTGATCAATATATATTGGATATTTAGACCAATTTAGTTTACCTGCTGAATAACTTAGGAATACCTGGGTTTTTATGGATACACATTTTAAAAGGCTCATTTACTAACACTGTGGTGTGCTATACTGTGCTTGGGTTCAGAACAGCCATACCTCTGCCTAAATATTTGCAGCAGCCAGACGTGCATTATGTCATGAGGCAGTCTGGCTCAGAATGGAGATTTTTAAATCCATGTGCTTCTGAATCAAACACCGAAAAGAAATTCTGCTTCCTCACCCTCCTGCTGGTTCTTCATGGACATCCTTTCTTGCCATTGCGTTCCCCTGGATGTTCCAGTATTTGGCTGTCTGGCCTGGCTTTTCAGATCCTTTTCCATCCTGATCATCTCATTTCCGTGGACTTGGTTGATTAGTAGCCCGGATGACAGTTGGCCAATGAATTGGCCTTCTGAATGTCACCCCTGGGCTTCTAGGAACAGAGCTGGAATCTGGTGTTAATCTGCAGTTCACCCTCCTGTCTGAGTGAGACTTACAGGGAGAGGGCTCCCTTTATAAGCCATGATTTAACTTTTCACCTTGATTTAATTAGTAAATAATAAATTACGGAGAAGGATATTGAAAGTGACGGCTGGAGCACATTTCTTTGTCTAAAATTTGGCATCATTTTTTCTCAGTAAGCTTCATGAGACACTGCTTTCACTATGAAGCATTTCATTTTTAAGACGTTCAGATTTGAGCAGCATATGACACAGGAACCATTTCCATGTGGGAAAATCGCATGACAGGAGGTTCAAACACCGCAGGCCGTTCTGGGTCCTTCGTAATAGAAAGCTCGTGCACATCACTGCAGCCATCCCTTTGTTTACCTGCCCAGGGGCTTCAGATCGCGTCTTTTACTTGTCTTCCTTTTAGAAATTCTGAAAATGATCTCTGCAGTTCAGCTCCTTTGTTGGAAATTGTGAATTCAGCATGTCTCGTAGATATGTAGAGGCTGTGCTAAGGCTGTACAGCACGCGGTGCCAGGCTGCGTGTTTACATCTCCTGCCCCGTCAAGGACACCAGTGCACGGAGGGTCCAGGTCTCTGCCAAGGCCTGGGACGAATCGCCAGTATATTCAGACAATAAAACACATGTCGTGGTGTTCCGACAGTCTTCTCTTAGTATACAATTTAAGTGTAATGTCCAGACCTTAACATTTACTCGTGTGGTTAATTCTGGATTACAGTGGAAAGAGAACATGGTATGAATGACAAAGACTTATTTGTCTTTGACTTTGTAATGGACGGGCTGTTGAGGTCACTGTGTCACCCTCTTAATTAGTGTGTAATTTAAAAGAACTGATTTTGAAATCACCTTGGCACTGCTACCTGATAACCTGGCTTAGTCACTGAGCCTGTTTCATCATCTGTAAAATGAAAATAAACGGTATCTACCTCATGATTTTGTGAGGGCTAAATGAAATAACATGTCAAGTGTCTACCTGTCCTCCTGTTTTAAACTTCAGGATAATCGGCCAATGCCATGGCTCACTAGGCTAATCATCCACCTGCGGCGCCGGCACCCCGGGTTCTAGTCCCAGTCGGGGCGCTGGATTCTGTCTCAGTTGCTCCTCTTCCAGTCCAGCTCTCTGCTGTGGCCTGGGAGGGCAGTGGAGGATGGCCCATGTGCTTGGGCCCTGCAGCCGCATGGGAGACCAAGAGGAAGCACCTGGCTCCTGGCTTCAGATTAGCACAGTGCACCGGCTGTGGCGGCCATTAGGGGAGTAAACCAACAGAAGGATGACCTTTCTCTCTGTCTCTCTCTCACTGTCTCTAACTCTACCTGTCAAAAAAAAAAAAAAACAACAACAACAACAACAACTTCAGGATAATCTAAAAATCTGTTTGCATTCCCAGAATTTAGCATTGGAAAAGCAGAATATGGATTTAAGAGTCTTGGGTAGTTGGAACTATTTTAGTTCTGGGACTGGCATCAGCCTGCAGTGTGATCTTGGATGAACCACTTTAAAAAAAAAATTTTATTTTTATTTATTTGAAGGCAGAGTGACAGAGAGAGAGGAAGAGGGAGAGAGAGAGAGAGAGAGAGAGAGAGAGAGAGAAAATCTTCCATCTGTTCATTCACTCTCCAAATGACCTCAGCAACTGGGCTGGGCCAGGCCAAAGCCAGGAGCCAGGAACTCTTTCCCTGTCTTCCACATGGGTAGCAGGAGCCCAAGCACTTTGGCTATCTGCTGCTGCTTTCCCAGTCACATTAGCAGGGAACCAGAATGGAATTCGAGCCGCCAGACTTGAATTGGTACTCATATGGGATGCCAGTGTCACAGGTGCACCACCATGCAGGACCCTGGGCAAATCACTTTTCTAATCATCTATATAATAGGACTCCTATCAGGTGTCATTCACTTCACATTTCATTTTTAAAATTTATTTTACAAAAGTGTAGTGAATGTTTACCGTGTGCTAGACATCGGAAATGCAGTGATGAACAGGATGAGCAAGACACAGTCCTCCCCTCCTGATTCCGATTGTTCTGCTGAAGAAGATGGGGGAAGCAAATAAATATACAGAAGAAGGCATTTCTGGTGATGGAGAGCAATTGGGGGATTTAGTGGGAGGCGGGATTCTGTCTCAGACAGTGGGTAGAAAAGGCCTGATTGATTGTTGAAGATCCCATTCACTGTAGGAATCCTAGTTTATAACCCAGACACAGGAGGCCAAGCAAGGCTCTTTTTGTCAAGGTGACAGTTAAACTGAATACATAAAGGGGTCAGCCAGGTGGAGGGAGGTGAGGGGAACCTGTGGGAAATGCTTATAGATCAGCATGAACATGAAATCCTTCATGTGGAAAATCTATGAGTGATTAATATTGTTACGCTTCCTAACATGTTACATGATTTCAGAGATTCTTCAAAAGCAAACGCTTGATGTTGATAATGCAAAATTGTATAAACCTTCCAGACTATAGCAACTGAACCTAGTCTAGCACTTCAAAGCCATACTATTTTCACAATTATATCCGTGTACGATGTATCATTTGTAGATCAACTTCATTTTTCCAAACCATACTGGGCGAGACTGGAACATGACTTGAGTGTCCCCCAGAGGTCCTGAAGTTCTGATCCCCAGAGTCTTATATTCATGGCTGAAAGCTGGAACTTAATTGAACCCAGGTGTTTGAATGCAGAGCCTTGGAAAGTGATTAGACTCTCTCAGGTTGTCGGGCAGAGCCTCTGTGGTGGAGCCACTGTGGCTATGTGAGGAGACGCATGGGAAGAAGACTGTACTCCCGGAGGTTCTCTGCTTCCTGGATTGCCATAGGAGTGTTCCTCCACACTTGCTCCAGAACTGCCGGCCTCCCCCAGATGCCAGACGAATGGGGCTGCACGACCGTGGACCGTGAGCTCCAAACCATGAGGCAAAATAAACCTCGTTCCTTTATAAGTAGCCCCTCTCAGGTATTTTAGCTAAAGCAACAAAAAAACCGACACAGTACTTCACAACGAAGTCTTTTCTGTTTTGAATGTTAAGTTAATAGAAATAGGCCAGGTTGTCTTTTTCATGATTCCAGAGCCTGTCATACCACAAGACCGCCTTACTTTGGAGAAGGGGACCGAGTTGATTATCATTTTATCTCTCAAGAAGTTTTTGATGAAATGCTAAACATGGTAAGAACATTTCTTATTTTTTTTTTTTGCACAAGAAGTACACATTCTCTTGCAGAAATTTTAGAAAATAGTGATAAATTAAAAAGGAAAAATTGAGTTTTGTGCTTGTTGTGAGAGATGAGTTATTGGGTAAACTTCTTAATACATCCATTCTTCACAAGTATTTCATGATCTTGGAGAAAATGTTGCAATTGCATATTGCAAATACCACAAAAAATTTCTAATGAAAATGAGCATGTGGACATTTTAAAAAGCTAGAACTAAGTTCACTCCAGAAGATTCTTGTGATTTGTGCATATCAGTTGCTTTTGCTATCATTAGTCTACAGTTCTCAATTAGACTTGGCTTGCTACACAAAGCTTGCAAATTCATTATTCCTGGGATGAGGGGGTCAGTCCAGAGAGCACTCCCCGTGTTTATTAGCAGTGGTACTTTCTAACTCTTACAGCTCTAAGCACTGTGTCCCATTTAGTTGGCTTGAACTGGACATGTTACCATCCTCAGTTACCTTCCAGTTTGAGAAGTCAAGTAGTTCACTCATGCAGACGGAAGCCCTTCTATCAGACCAGTTAAGACTCCTAATTTCTTTAAGGACTGTGTGTCTGCCAGGTGATGAGAGCTACCATGCATCAGTCAATATTATAGACACTCAAGATAATCTTCAATTTAATTTTTTTTTTCTTTACTGAAACCTTGATAGTCTAGTCATTGGTGGTAATTCACAGTCACCTCCTTGTCTTTATTTTTCTCAATTTTTAACATGTAATACTTGTACATTTTTATGATGTATAGTGCAGTATTTCAACACAGGTATATAGTGCAAACTGATCAGTCAGGCAGTTAGCATAGTCCGCATTTCTAGTTCCTTTTCTTTATGCTGAGAGCTCCTGTCTTCTGGTTCTTTGTCTAATGTATAATACATTTTTGTGAACTACATTCACCCTGCTCTGCTGTGGGGGGCCAGAAATTATTACCTCGCTCTGTATTTTGGTACTCCTTATCCAACCTCCCTCTTCCTCCCAATATCCCCACCCCTCCCAGCTTCCAGTAATCGCTATTCTAAGTTCAGGTAGCTGGTTTTTTTTTTTTTTCTGTTTCTTGACAGGCAGAGTGGACAGTGAGAGAGAGAGACAGAGAGAAAGGTCTTCCTTTGCCGTTGGTTCACCCTCCAATGGCCGCCGCGGCTGGCGCACCGCGCTGATCTGATGGCAGGAGCCAGGTGCCTCTCCTGGTCTCCCATGGGGTGCAGGGCCCAAGCACCTGGGCCATCCTCCACTGCACTCCCTGGCCTCAGCAGAGAGCTGGCCTGGAAGAGGGGCAACCGGGACAGAATCCGGCGCCCCGACTGGGACTAGTACCTGGTGTGCCGGCACCGCAAGGTGGAGGATTAGCCTAGTGAGCCATGGCGCAGGCCTCAGGTAGCTGTTTTAAACTTCCACGAATGGGAAGGAATATATGCCATTTATCTTCCTATGCCTGACTTACTTCATGGAGTGTAATAACCCCCAGTTTCATCCATTTTGCTACAAATATTAAGATTTAATTCTTTTTCTTTGGCCGAATAATATTATGTATATATGCCACAGTTTCTTTATCTGTTCATCCCCTGGTGGCCATTGTGACAAGTGCTGCAGGGAACATGGGAGTGCAGGTATCTCTTTGATGTGCTGATATCATTTCTTTCGGGTATACTCAGAAGCAGATGGGTGGGGTCCACAGACGGTAGGTCTGTTTTCGGTTTTTTGAGGAACCTCCTCTCTGTTCTCCATAGTGACTGTACTGATTACATTCCCTGGGGCAGTGTAGGAGGGTGCGTTCCTTTTTCTCTCCATCCTTGGGACTGCTTGTTCTGTTTCTTACTTTGATAATGGCCATTCTACTTAGAGCAAGATGATATCTCATTGTGGTGTCAGTTTGCATTTCCCTGGGGGCTATGATAGTGGGCAGAGTTTCACTCATACTTGTTGGCCATTTACATGTCTTCTTTTGAGACGTGTCTATTCAGATCCTGTGCTCATTTCTTAACTGGATTGTTTGGTTTTTCTTCTTCGATTCTGTGTGTTCTTTGTCAGGTAAAGAGTTTGCAAGAGTTTTCTTCCGTTTTGCGGTTTGTTTCTCTCTCTCTCTCTCTTTTTTTTTTTTTTTTTTTTTTGACAGGCAGAGTTAGACAGTGAGAGAGAGAGACAGAGAGAAAGGTCTTCCTTCTGTTGGTTCACCCTCCAATGGCTGCTACGGCCAGTGCACTGCGCTGATCCGAAGCCAGGAGCCAGGTGCTTCCTCCTGGTCTCCCATGGGGTGCAGGGCCCAAGCACTTGGGCCATCCTCCACTGCCTTCCCTGGCCACAGCAGAGAGCTGGCCTCGAAGAGGGGCAACCAGGACAGAATCCAGCGCCCCGACCAGGACTAGAACCCCGGGTGCCGGCGCTATAGGCGGAGGATTAGCCTAGTGAGTCGCGGCGCCAGCCTGCGGTTTGTTTCTTCACTCTGTTTATTGTCTCCTTGGTTTTTCAGAAGCTTCTTAGTTTGGTATAATCACAACTGTCTAGTTTTGCTGCTGTTGTCTGTGCTTTTGGGTTTGTATTTGAAAAATTCTTTCCTATACCAGTGTCTTAAAGTGTTTCCTCTAGGTTTTTTCCTACTAGCTGAGGTCTATCATTTAAGTCTTTGATCCATTTTGAGTTATTTTTTCTATAGGGTGAGAAGTAGTAAAAAGCATTCCCTTTTGACTGTAGGTAGAAAGGCAGCTGGTTTCCAAACTTCATGTGAACTTTTCTTAGAGTCTGAAGCATTTTTATTAGTTCAGTTCTTCCACTTTGAGCACCCCAGATGCCCCTTCTGTTGTTCCATGTCTTGTCAGATATCACATTATTCTACTTCAATCCCTAGTCTGAAACCACAGCGCTTTTATACTGTAGTTAGTCTTAGAGTTTTACTCACTCTGCAGAAATCTTCATGTGTTTGGGTGCTCATTTTTACTGTGTCTGCTAGAATATATTACCTTAATATAATGTCATTTTCTTCCATTTCAATTTTGCCTCTGATCTTTTTTTCTCATCTTTAATGTGAACTTAAAATCTGTTTCATGAAGACAAACCTGGTATTATAAACTCAGGATCTATTGTCAGCTTCACCAGTCATACCCACACAGTCAACCTTCTGCACATAGAACCCTTCTCCACCCTGACAGTCTGGCCCTTCCCCCATCCTCTGACAGTCTAGCATTGCTTCCCTGCGCATTTGCCAGGGTAGTCACACCCATCTTCTCTGAGGTGCTGACACACAGACCTGCACACCCTTCCCACACACATGCCTGCTCCAACAGCCATCGCCGCAGGATACAGATCAGCCCCCACAAAGAACCCTTCTTCCTGACTTAGGAAGATACAGCCAGAGACCTGGAAGTCTTTGCAGTACGACCATTGCTGCTTATTAGAAGTCTGCTTGCGCAAGATGAAAGGACTGTCACCAGTCGGAAGTGGGAGGGACCGTTTCCCCCCAATGTTTTAATGAATCAGTTTGCTGGGGTCTATTTTTTAGAAATGTACAGTGCAAGATTTTTCCAAAGCCTGTATCTTTCCAGAAAATGCCACCTTGATCCGCAGGGCAGGTCCTTGTGTAAACAAGAAAACAAAGTATGTGACAATCTGAAAAGTATGCTTAGATTGTATACATTTTCTTTTTTTTTTTTTTTTTTGCCAGGCAGAGTTAGACAGTGAGAGAGAGAGAGAGAGAGAGAGAGAGAGAGAAAGGTCTTCCTTTCCGTTGGTTCATCCCCCAAATGGCTGCCACAGCCGGCGTGCTGCGCTGATCCTAAGCCAGGAGCCAGGTGCCCTGTCCTGGTCTCCCATGCAGGTGCAGGGCCCAAACACCTGGGCCATCCTCCACTGCCCTCCCGGCCACAGCAGAGAGCTGGATTGAAAGAGGCGCAACCGGGACCAGAACCCAGCACCCATTTGGGATGCCAGCGCCTCAGGTGGAGGATTAGCCATGTGAGCCATGGCACCGGCCCCTAAGATTTATTTATTTATTTGAGAGGTAAAGTTACACACAGAAAGAGGGAGAGACAGAGAGAAAGATCCTCCATCTGCTGGTTCACTCCCCAAATGGCCGCATCAGCCAGGGCTGAGCTGATCTGAAGCCAGGAGCCAGGAGCCTCCTCCTTGTCCCCAGCATGGGTGCATGGGCCCAAGCACTCAGGCCATTCTCCACCACTTTCCCAGGCCATAGCAGAGAGCTGGCTTGGAAGAAGAGCAACCGGGACACGAACCGGTGCCCGTATGGGATGCTGGAGCTGCTCGCGGATGCCCAGCCCACTACACCACGGCGCCGGCCCTGACATAACTTTCTTATGAGTATGGAGATCCAGATTTTCCTTGTCAGCCGCAGCGGACGAATCTTCCAGAGACCCATGCAGCCCGAGAGAAGCCTTGTGTCTCCTGGTCTTCCAACCCGTCTTCCCTGACGGATAGCTGATCCCCCAGGCCTACACTTCACCGGCACATCTGGAGCCAGAAGGCACAGGGTAGCAAACGGATCCCCAGTCACGGCTGCTGTTAGTGCTGCTGCTGCCATTTGGCAGGATTCAGTGCGTCTCTCTGAGTCTTCCTTCCTCTGTTTATTTCAGAGTCAGGTATCTGAGGGTTCAGACTTGCCAAGGTCATCCACATTTTTAGTCCTTCTGTTGTCTTCAGCCTCCCAGACTAGGTTAGACCTAGTGGTTTCATAAATAGAACATGTCAAAGAAAAAGTCTTAGACAAGGTTGAGAGCCGTGTTTTTACTTGCATTTTTTTTTTCCTTTGCGAGGAGTACAGCTTTCAGCTGAGCTCCCAGAATGCAGAGGAAAGCCAGTATTTATATTTCAGATGACTGTGGGCAGACAACAGTGTATTGAACAGCATACGGACAGTTGCTGCAGTAAGCTGTCTTTACGGGGTAAAACAGGATGAGACTGTTTCAGAAGGTCTCTGTCATCCCTGGTCTTCAGGATTTATCCTTAATTCACAGCTTATCTTGGAATGAAAGACGTGCAGGAATAAAAGCCTTTTCTGGGCTCTGGTATGCCCGGCATAGCTGAAATTGTGGCGGCAAAGAGCAAACTATTAGTTTTCTCTCTCAGGAATGCAGGTTTGTGCTACAGGTTTGGCAGGAATTGAGTAAATAAGCAAACTGCTTTGTTCCACAGAAAGCTTTACCGCCTTCACCCTCTGACATTTTGTCCGCAGATTATCTCCAAAAGCCTCATTTTTTTTGTCAGCTGAGAATTCTGAATAAATTACTCTATTACAGTTGGATATTAAGTTTTATGACCTCATTGTCATTCTTACATGGTTGCTAGTGTTTGTTTTATGGAATTATATAAAAATAAGATATCAAGTGATTTTATTTTTATTAAATTTCATTATGGCCACTGTTATATGAAAATCTTTATACTTCTCAAATTCCAGGGGAAATTCATTCTAACATTTAATTATGGTAATCATAATTATGGATTGAATAGAGACACTGTAGAAGGTATCGCAAGAGATGGTTTAGCAAGCTGTATTCATTTGGAAATAGAAGTAAGTATTTTTTATTCAATCAATTTATTTTTTAATGTGTGTATATAAATATGTACATCTATTTGAGGTTGGGGCTCCAGTGTGCAACAGCATAGTACTAGGCACAAGAGAAACATGGACATGGGGGTCGCAGGCTATGAAAAATTAAGTGACAGAGTTAGACTACAATGCAAGAATACACACATATGCCGTGAGTGAAGCTACCACCAAGATGTATTTTCTAAGTTATTTCCTCACTAAATTATATGAAGTGATGTAAGCTACAGCCTAGTTCTTTATGCCCTGGGCATGCTTGTTCCCTCTCTCTGCACAGAGGCGTGCGGGCGGGGCTGTCTTTTCACTCCAGTTACTCAGGCCCTGCAGGACTTCTGGCGACTGGGACTTGCAGATTTCAGGAGACTCTCCTCTGGGCCCCAGCGCGGCTGTCTTCCCTCAGCTAGCTGGTGCAATGAGAGTACACAGAAGCTTCTCTGAAGTTAAGGTCCAGAGTAAAACCATCCCGCACTTGTTTTTAAAATACATGGCTTTATCAAATAGCTGAAATCTTCAAAGATATTTGATCACTTTGTCAAGTCGCCCTCACCAAGCAGTGTCACGCTTTTTTTTTTTTTTTAAAGATTTATTTATTTATTTGAAACTCAGAGTTACACAGAGAGAGAAGAGGCAGAGAGAGAGAGAGAGAGAGAGAGAGAGAGACAGAGAGAGAGAGAGGTCTTCCATCTGATGGTTCACTCCCCAATTGGCCTCAACAGCCGGAGCTGTGCTGATCCGAAGCCGGGAGCCAGGAGCTTCCTTCAGGTCTCCCATGCAGGTGCAGGGGTCCAAGGACTTGGGCCATCTTCCACTGCTTTCCCAGGCCATAGCAGAGAGCTGGATCGGAAGTGGAGCAGCCAGGACTCAAACCAGCGCCCATATGGGATGCCGGTACTGCAGGCCAGGGCATTAACCCACTGAGCCACAACACTGACCCCCAGTGTCATGCTTTTTGCAATCAAAAAGTGCATGAAAATGGTTTCGTTAGACCAAACTTGGAGGATTCGAAGCTTACACAAGCCTGATACTCCTTCACTCTTCCTGCTCCATCCATTACCTTCTACTTTATAACTTCGCAGAGAAGGAGGCTGTAATTCCCTTTCGGCTCTTAAGGGTTTACAGGTCAACTTGGGGAATCTGATGGCATTCCTTCCAGCTCTTTAGCTTTCCTGGCTTCACAATCCTTCCATTCTTACCTTTCTGCAAGTAACTGGTTTTGTATCTTTAAGGAGGTTTTGTATCTTTAATATGTTAATTAACGAGAGAGAGAGAGATCTTCTATCCACTGGTTCACTCTCCAAATGGCTGCAACAGCTGGAGCTGGGTTGGAGCTGGGCCGATCCAAAGCCAGGAGCCAGGAGCTTCTTCTGTGTCTCCCACACGAGTGCAGGGGCCCAAGGACGTGGGCCATCTTCTGCTTTTCCAGGCCACAGCAGAGAGCTGGATCGGAAGTGGAGCAGCCAGGACTCAAACAAGCATTCATAGGGGATGCCGGCACTGCAGACGGTGGCTTTACCCACTATGCCGCAGCTGCAGCCCCTGGTTTTGTATCTTTAATGAAGGGGATTGTCTTTGTTTCTGCACTAATATGGTAATTAACAACAGAGAGAGAGAGAGACTTTTTTAAAAGAAGTTTCTTCCTCACAAAGGGAAAACCAAAATGAAGGCAGGTTTCGAGGGCAGAAACTCCATCTTTTTCGTTTCTTTTTCCAGTCCAGCAGGTACCGCGTGGTGGCTCCTGTGTCGCGGTTGTCCTCCTCGAGAGCTTCCTGCTGCTCACTCCCTGGGTTGAGTCTATAAACCGCGCTTAATTCCCCTGGTTCTCCACAGCTGAAGGATTTCTCCAGCCTGCCCTCGTCACTGACTCTCCCAGAAACTGCTTTTGAAAAGAGCCCGTATTTCTTCCCGCTGAGTTTCTAAACCAAGATTGTGAACACTGAGTTAACTGATGATAGACTTGAGATAGAAGGGGCTCTACCGTCTCTCTCACTTCACCCATGAGGAAACTGATACCCCTAGAGCTTGAGGGCTTTGCTGACTGCAGGAGGCAGAGAGCTGCCGTCCAACCGTGCTTCCCCCCGTGGTTCCCTGGTTGGCAGGATACCAGGAGCTTGGCCTGCTTGCTCCGGGACAGAAGTTGTGATAGGAACTGGAATCGGCCCAACCAGGTCGCTCCTGAAAGCATGGGAAGGGTGCCCAGGGGATGGCATAGGGTTAGCAGAGGGGCCTTTTCTTCCTGGTGAGATGCCTTTTGAAGTGTAGAATGGAGATGACTTTGACTAGTAACATCGCAGTGCTGCTATCTTATAGCCAATGATTTTCCTTTATAACAGTAATATTATAATGACTGGAGGGTAACCAGGTAGAATAATTTGTATTATTTCCAATGACAATGTAATGTTTGGTGAAGAGAAAAAAGTAATCCAACCTGGAGATACTTATGAAAAATATAATTATTTATTTACTTGCAGATAAATTCTTGAATATAATACTACTTCTTACACCTATGTTGTCAGTTGTCTCCAAAGTAATTTCTAAATCGTGTATCCTCTTTCCAATTTCTTACCATTTCTTTACATGTGTAGGGTGTAAGAAGTTTGAAATATTGCTATTTCGAGCCTCGCTATATCCTAGTGGTGCCCATGAACAAGGAAAAATATGAAGGATATTTGCGGAGAAAAGGATTATTTAGTCGTGCAGAAGTTGAATTTGCTGTTTCCAGAGTGGACCTTTATGTTAAAATTAATCAGAAATTTCCAGGATACTTTGATGCAGTAATCAATTCAGGTCAGTAACTTTAAGCAAAGCTTTATTTTTGAAGTAGATGGTTACTAAATTAAAAGTTTGCTTCATGGGAAGAAAATTCTTGGGTGACACAAAGGAGTAAGAATCCAAGAGATAAAACATTGTCAATCATTGTAATCAGACTGTTTTTCCTGTTCTTTAAAATGTTAACCAATAAACATTGATGTAAAATGAGCCTGGAGTAGATTCCTTACTTGGGGATATTGTGAGTACAAGGTTCGATGATATATAATTTGAAATACACATTTAATTTTCTAGAAAGGTCTATGTAACGCAGACAGTTTTATCATAATCTACTTATAGGGTAAAAACCAAACTGTTAAAAATATCATAACCATGGCCCCGGTCCCCTGGGCTCACGGGCCAGCCTGGAGTCTGCCCTGCTCTCTGACCACATAAGCTGCCTCCAAGTCTGCTAGTCCGTGTGCTCTTCTCTTCCTGAAAGCTACTTTTCACCTTTTGTTTTAATCCCAGAAGAATGAACGCTGCAGTGCCTAGGGCCTTTGAACCTTGTGTTCATTCTGCTTCCTTCCCCTGCCCCATGCCCCCCACTTCCCCCCCATGCAGCGCTTATCTTGACAATAATATATAATGAATGTTCTCTTTGCTGGTTTATCTGCAGGAATCTCTCTGGGTCTTCGTTTTGGTGTTGGATTCAACACTGTGCTAAAGTGGGGATGTCCCATTGAATAAAAGAGCAGTGTGGTTTTCTAAAAACATATGTAACCATGAAAATATCTGGGCAAGACATTTTTCAGTACTCTTTTAGAAATGGTCACTTATTTGAACCAGTAGTCAGTGGAAGAATTTATTGAAATATCGAAATTTCTGTATATTTTAAAGCAGTATTATACAATCACAAAAAGGAATGAGAAAACACAGATTTTTTTTTTTTTGACATGCAGAGTTAGTGAGAGAGAGAGAGAGAGAGAGAGAGAGAGAGAAAGGTCTTCCGTTTTCCATTGGCTCATCCCCCAAGTGGCTGCTACAGCCGGTGCGTTGCGGCTGGCACACTGAGCTGATCCGAAGCCAGGAGCCAGGTGCTTCCTCCTGGTCTCCCGTGCAGGTGCAGGGGCCCAAACACCTGGGCCATCCTCCACTGCACTCCCGGGCCACAGCAGAGAGCTGGCCTGGAAGAGGGGCAACTGGGACAGAATTCGGCGCCCCGACTGGGACTAGAACCTGGGGTGCCAGCGCCACAGGCAGAGGATTAGCCTAGTGAGCCACAGCACCGGCCTGAGAAAGCACTGATTTTGAAATAGGAGATATCTTCAAGCCATACTTAAGAAAAGGCAACCACAGGTGTAGCATACCACCGTGTATGTAACAAATAAAAAACAACCTCGTATGTATTTTCTTGTACCACATAAAGGAATCTCTGGAAGAATCCTCAAAAACTCCTAACAGTGCTTATACCTGTTTTGGCTTCAGAGACGTTAGGTTGAACCATATAAAATTGCTGATATTTCAATTATTGTTCCTGTGCTCCGTGTTTGTTTTGCTGCATAGAAATGATTACTGTCAACAGCTTAAAACAACACCTGTCTGTAGTTCAGTTTTGTAGACTGGAAGTCTGGCACAGCACAGCTGCTCTCTCTGTGCAGGGTATTCGGAGGTGAAATTAAGTTATCAGCTGGGCCGTCAGTTCAGAAGGCCCGGGGAGAGTGCCACACCAAGGTTCATTCTTGCTGGTTAGTGCAGTCCCTCCTCGCTCTCAGGCTGGGGCCCAGTCTCTGTGTTGACTGCCGGCAGTTCCTAGAGGCGGTTCCCGTGTCTTATCCACGCGACCCCTGCCGTCTTCCGGTTAACCGCAGCACACCCAGTCTTCCTTGTGCTTTGAGTCTGATGTCCCCTCCTGCCACCAGCTGGAGAAGAACGCTCCTTTTGTGGGGCTCACGTGGCCGGAGTAGGCCCACCTGGATAATCTTCTTAATAACCCTTAATAACCATAATCCCATCTGTAAAACCCTCTTAGCATATAATGTAAATCTAATCAGGGACGTGATATCTTGTTACCGCTGCAGATTTTGCCCACCCTGAAAGACAAGAGATTCTATGAGGTGCAATGACATTGGGATCATCTTAGAATTCTGTGTACCACAATATTCATAAAACTCTGTGTAGTGAACAAACCGGGACCAGCAACAGCTGAGCACTGACTGTTAGCGCACTCTTTCATTTTCTGTAGATGACCTGGATGCTGCCTATGAGAAGCTGAGTCAGCTCATCAGAGACTACCTGGGATTGACAGAGGGACCTGCCAAAAGTCTGGCTCCAGCTGCAGGTACTGTCCTGTCCACTCTGTGCCAGAATTGTTTGTTTGTTTCCATAGAAAGGAAACCATTTCTGTGCATTGTTACTTGTCTACTGATTAGCTAGGGCTAAAGCTGATAGTGACTCTATTCTGGGGTGACTGTTCCCATACACAAGCTGGAAGGGTCAGCCTCTTGGTCTACAACTCTCCTTGTCTGCCCAACCATAATAGAACTCAGAGGACTCCCCTTGCAGACACATGCTGGGCCATACCATGGGGGTGAGAGGGAAAGAACTAGCCCCATGGTCCAGAACTCAGCCTTCTAGAAGTTGAGTTTCCTTCGGTGGGGCTGAGGTATTTGCTACTTGTCTGGTCTATATTTAGTCCAAGTGTTCCGGTCCAAGAGCTTTCCGTCCTCTTTTTTTTTTTTTTTTTTTTTTTTTTTTTTTTTTTTGACAGGCAGAGTGGACAGTGAGAGAGAGAGACAGAGAGAAAGGTCTTCCTTTGCCGTTGGTTCACCCTCCAATGGCCGCCGCGGCCGGCGCGCTGCGGCCGGCGCACCGCGCTGATCCGATGGCAGGAGCCAGGAGTCAGGTGCTTTTCCTGGTCTCCCATGGGGTGCAGGGCCCAAGCACCTGGGCCATCCTCCACTGCACTCCCTGGCCACAGCAGAGAGCTGGCCTGGAAGAGGGGCAACCGGGACAGAATCCGGCGCCCCGACCGGGACTAGAACCCGGTGTGCCGGCGCCGCTAGGCGGAGGATTAGCCTAGTGAGCCGCGGCGCCGGCCCGTCCTCTTTTCTTTCCATTGTGCCAGTCCTCAATGGTGTTCTCTGCAGAATTTGGCAAGAAGCACACCAGTCGGAGGGTATCCTCCTGGCCCTGGCCTTGCTGCCCCCTTGGGCAAGCTGCTCTGCTGATCTGAGCTCCAGGTCCCCATCCTGCTAAGTGGAGTTTGTATTCCCTTCCTGCCTCATGGACCGTGAGCAGCAGATAACAGGATTACGAGTAGAAAAGTGTGAGTCCTCGGAACCCAGCAGTTCTAAAGCCCTCACTTGGGATTTTGGTACATGAGTATTTTGAAATGTGTTATAAAAGGTTTCCCGAGTCCACTTCACAACCATTAGGATAAAAACAAGTCACAAGAAAATAACAAGTGTTGGTCAGGATGTAGAGAGACTGGATCCATTATGCACTGTCGGTAGGAATGTGAAATGGTGTAGCTCCTATTTAAAACAGGATGGTAGTTCCTCAAAAACTGTAAAAGTAGAACCACCAAATGACCCATCAGTTCCGTTTCTGAGTATGGACCCAGGAGACTTGTCAGCAGGAATCTCAAAGAGATAGAGGAAATAGCCCTGTCCCTAGTAGTGCGATAGCAGCACAGTAGAGCCAAAAGGTGGAAGCAGCCCAAGTGTCCGTTGCTGGATGAATGAATAAAGAAAATATGATATATCTATACACAATGGAATATTCCTCAGCCTGAGAAACAGAAGAAAATCTGACACAGGCTGCAGTACGAATGAACCGTGGAGACCTTCTACTAAGTAAAATAAGCCAGTCACAAAAAGACAAATAGCGTATGAGTCCCCTTGTATGAAGTACCTGGAATAATAGCATAACCGTATGAAATTACTTGATGCCACTGAACTGTATGCTTGCAAATGGTTTTGATAGTCAATTTTAGGTCATCTTACTATAATAAGTTTTTTTTTTTTTTTTTTTGACAGGCAGAGTGGACAGTGAGAGAGAGAGAGAGAGAAAGGTCTTCCTTTGCTGTTGGTTCACCCTCCAATGGCCGCCGCGGCCGGCGCACCGCGCTGATCCGATGGCAGGAGCCAGGTACTTATCCTGGTCTCCCATGGGTGCAGGACCCAAGCACTTGGGCCATCCTCCACTGCACTCCCTGGCCACAGCAGAGAGCTGGCCTGGAAGAGGGGCAACCGGGACAGAATCTGGCGCCCCGACCGGAACTAGAACCCGGTGTGCTGGCGCCGCAAGGTGGAGGATTAGCCTAGTGAGCCGCGGCGCAGGCCTATAATAAGTTTTTTAATCGTAGTCTTATTACCATTTTAAGACACTTTATTTTTTTTATAAGTTTTATGCATTTACTTGAGAGGTAGAGTTAGAGAAGGAGAGACAGAGAGGTCTTCCGTCTGCTGCTTCACTCCCCAAATGGCCGCAGTGGCTGTAGCTGAGCCGATCTGAAGCTGGGAGCCAGGAGCTTTTTCCAGGTCTCCCATGCAGGTGCAGGGACCCAGGCACTTGACCCATCCTCTACTGCTTTCCCTAAGCAGGGAGTTGGATGGGAAGAGGAGCAGCCAGGACATGAACTTGCGCCCATATGGGATGCCGGCACTGCACGTGGAGGCTTAGCCTACTACACCACAGCGCTGTCCCCAACAATAAAAGTTTTAAAAGTTCCCTTCAATGGGCTTCATTCACATGTAACATATTCTAAAATGTCAACAGAAGATTTCTCTTGTATCTGGGTGGATGTTATGCAATTTTGTGCTTTAGCCTTTATTAATCTTCACCCAAATACGATTTTGCTTGCCTGGGTGCCTGGTCAGACTGAGGCAGGACAGGTCATGATTTCACCGGATTTCAAACCAAGTGTGCTGATTTGCAATTTTACACACTTTTCCCAGGCCAAGCACACCCGGTATTTTGGTGAAGCCAGTAAAACTCAGCAGACGGTGGTTAAGAATTTCCCTCTGGCCGGCACACCGGGTTCTAGTCCAGTCGGCGCCGGATTCTGTCCTGGTTGCTCCTCTTCCAGGCCAGCTCTCTGCTGTGGCCCGGGGGTGCAGTGGAGGATGGCCCAAGTGCTTGGGCCCTGCACCTGCACGGGAGACCAGGAGGAAGCACCTGGCTCCTGGCTTCAGATTGGCGCAGCGCTGGCCATGGCGGCCACTTGGAGGATGAACCAATGGAAAAAGGAAGACCTTTCTCTCTGTCTCTCTCTCTCTCTCACTGTCTAACTCTGGCTGTCAAAAAAAAAAAAAAATGGAATTTCCCTCTACATACGTCTTACAGGAGATGAAGTGACCAGGACTGGCCTGCCGACTGGAAAGTTTTTTAAGAAAGTGCAGTTTGTCTGGAAACAGCCTTTAGTGGAGGAGTGGCAGTCTGTGTCCCGTCTATAGGGGAGGACAGTAAGATGGGAGGGAAGGTGTCGGTGTGCGTACCCAGCCTTGCTCTGATTCTCCTGGTCAGGCGTTCATTCTTTAGAAAGCGGTGACCGTGGAGTGGAGGGGTGCAGTAAGCCTCCTGGGGTTTCCGTAGCTCAGTGGAAGCTTCTCCTGAGGAAATCTAGCTCCCTTTGCTTTCGTTCCTTGCTAACCAAGCACCTTTCTGAACTTTAATTTGGTCTCCGGGGTGGACGTGCCCCATGGGGGCTGCGCCCCGCGTTGCTCTGATCCCTGAGCCGGACTCATCTCCCCTTGTAAATTAAATTGGTGTGCTGGTTTTTACATCAGCCTCTTACGGGTTTGGGTAAATGTGAGTCAGTCCCCTGAGCCTGACCAGATCTGAGTAACTGGAAAACGTACGGTTTCTGAATGGGCGGCGCCGGTTGGTGGCTTTTGAGCCTTATTGGCCTGTGAGGCTCCGCCTCTGTATGCTGCCTTCCGGCACTGTCAGGAACACTGACTGCTGGCATTTGGCAGATTAATAGACCAGGTAATGTGTGCATAGGAAAATGGACTACCATCTTAAAAGGCGTAATAAAGCTTGATTTACTTGGACTAATTAGGTTAGGCCTGTCTGATTTAATGATAAGGATGAATTATAGACTTTATAAAAATATTTACTCCCCAGTACATTTAATAACTAAGCCATCCAGTTATTGAATAGCAGAATTCCAGCTCTAAAGTGTAGACAGACAGAATTGTAATTAATTCATCAACTCACTCGCTTCAGCAGACGTTTGCTTTTGAGGCAGGCTTAGTATTGTGTAAAATAATGCATTTTCCTAAGCTGAACACTGTAGCTCTCTTGCACAGTTATTTTGTTGAGGAACTTGGTTTTTTTTCCCCCATTGATAGTTTAAAGATAAACTTGCACATAAAGTGAGATTTTAGAGGTTGGACATTATTCAAGAGAGTACTTACAAGCTTCTAATAAGCACAGTCCTTATTCCTAAACTTGTATGATGTTCCCGTCAGTCCAGGGAGGAGAGCCAGCGGGCTCTGTGAGTCTCAGAGCTCTGCGGCTTGTGTCGGGAAGCACAGGCAGGTTCACAGGAGGACGGGGGACCCAGCCACGGCTGCCCCGCAGCGAGGCAGTGCCAAGACTCCCTGAGCAGGGGCCCAGCCGGGCCTCAGCTCCAGACTGTGCTCCCAGTGGGTCTCCCTGAGGTCAAGTTCTATATCTGAGGTATTGTTATAAATAATACATATATTACTTATATAAATGGGTCCCTAGAAGTTAAAGAAATAATAATATGGTGGATTTTTAAAAAATAATTTAGCTGTCAAGGGGAAGGAATTAAAAACGTTAAATACCTAAGATTCTATGAAAGTCCGTTTTGTGTGAATAATTGGAAAAATGGGCTGGAGATATGAAGGCTTAGTTTCCCAGTCTAATTCTAAGCAGTGATCATTGATTTGATTGAAGCAATGATTCTGAACTCCCATTTCTTCAAAAAAAAAAAAAAAAACACCAAAACTGTGTATATTATAAGACTGTTGGAGGAATCTGGCCTTCAGAGCTGAGGTTTTCCCCAGTTGTCATAGAAGGCAGTGCAGAGATCTTACGGCCCACTGCATTGTTTTTCTAAAAGTAGTAATCCTGTGTCAATGCAAACTGAAGATTTCTCCCAGATATTTTAAATAACAATCCATAGCTTTATGTTAGCGATTTTTATGTGGCTAATTTGTAACTGAGAATGCAATTTCAGTTTCTGCTCTTGACAATGAGAGTGGGACAAAGTGATAAAGAGAAGCAGCAGGGTCTGGCATTTCTGTGTAAAACACACAACAGCCTGGGCCCAGAAGTGTAAAACCTCACCGGTGGATAGAGTAATTGAAGTTTCATTTAATACATGCATAATAGTAACTCTGGGTAGAGAGTGTTTGTAGACCTTTCGATAATGCCATTAATTTGTAAATTTTTAAATTTATTTTCATATTATTTGAAAAGCAGAGTCAGAGACCTTGTTTTTTAAAAAAAAGAGATTTATGTATTTATTTGAAAGGCAGAGTTACAGAGAAGCGATACAGACAGATCTTCCATCCACTGGGTCACTCCCCAGATGACCACAACAACTGGGGCTGAGTGAGGCCAAAGCCAGTAGCTTCTCCTGGGTCTCCCACGTGGGTACAGGGGCCCAGGGACCTGGGCCATCTTCTACTGCTTTCCCAGGCGCATTAGCGGGGAGCTGAATTGGAAGTGTTGCAACTGGGGTATGAACAGGCATCCATATGGATTGCTGGTGCTACAGGCAGTGGCTTTACCCACTATGCCACAATGCTGGCCTCCAAGAAAGATTTTCCATCTGTTGGTTCACTCCCCAGATACCTACAACAGCTCTCCCTTGTAGGTGGCAGGGACCTGAGTACTTGATTTGTCACCTGCTGCCTCCTAGGGTGGCAGAAATGGGAAGCAGAGTGAGGATTTGAACCCAGGCCCTCCGATGTGGAATGCCAGTATCCCAAGTGCCATCTCCTCCACTGTGCCCAATGCCCACCCTTTAGATGCACTATTTATTAACTTAAATGTATATCCATTTAGATGTTGTTTTTGCTTGGTTTTTCCCTGTAGTAGTGCGGATAATATTTGTTTCTAAAAGCTTAAAGACTTCAAAGTTCCAAGTAAGAAATAAAGTTTTTGTTCAAATAAGGGAAAACTCAGTTTACTCACAGCTCAACATAAGGGACGTCTTTACCCTCCATCCATCTCCAGACAGCTTATGCTGGGATAGTCAGTGCTTCCATCAGAGCTGCTAGAAAGCTGAACCCACGCTCGCCCGTAGTTCTTGCTGTAAGGATGGTGAAATGAAACCACATTTTTTTTTTTTTTGACAGGCAGAGTGGACAGTGAGAGAGAGAGAGACATAGAGAAAGGTCTTCCTTTGCTGTTGGTTCACCCTCCAATGGCCGCCACGGCTGGCATGGGGACGGTCCACTCTGGGGTCACATGGGAGGTGTGACTTGGTTTAGAATCTCTGAGTATCAGGTGACCCCAGCGGTGAGCTGAGACTAGTCCCTTCGAGGCCATTCCAGACTGGTATGTCACCTCTGATCCCTGTACATCTCTGCCCATGGTCCTCAGGGTTGGGTTAGAGTGACTTTCGTGTCGCTGGGATGTATGAGGGCTCCTGGCATAAACAAGTGCTTGCTGGAGCGACTGTGTCCATGAGACCAAAGCGTGTGAGAGCATGCTCCTGTGGTGATCAGAGGAAGCAACCCCTCTCTGCCTCACTCACCTTGCTGGTAGCCTCTGAGAGCTAGCTGTGCAGCCAGGGTACACTTGGAAGGCTAGAGGAGTCCCGGGGTAGGTGGGTGTAGGGTGTAGGGTGTAGGATAGGATAGGAGTAGGGCGGGGTAGCTGCAGGGATGCGGGGCCCTCGAGAGCCGCTGCTCTGAGCCCTGGTGCCTTCTGATTTGATTGCACCCATTCTTTCCTCCCTTCTTCCACGCGACACCTGCTTACTGAGCTCCTGCTGACGCCCATGCCCTGGCTAAGCATTAGTAAGCAGGCGTAACTCATCGTACCACTCACAGCTTATCTAAGGAGACTGTCATTAAACAGAAACAAACGAACGGGACTTCATCCGGCCTGGCTGTTCTCTCCCTGGTTTCTACCAGGCAAAAGCAGCATTGATTGCTAAGGTGGTGATGTCAAATCACATTCACTTGGGAAAATCTCCTCACCCACAGAACTGGATATAAATTTTGCTTCTATGAGAAAGCCTCTTTAATGTTTGTTCATTCAAGTGCATGTTCCAGTTGACTAAAATTATTATAAATTCCACTAAATAAAAGAATTCTCCCCAAGGAGAAGGAAAGGTCAAGTGTGTGATTGGATTCCAGGGTCTCTTGTGCATCGCAACAGGGAAAGATGTTTTTGTTATTAATTTCTAAACAGTTCAGTGTGTTTTCAGCTAATGTCCTTTTATACCAAAGCAGGGGCTCCTTCTAACAAGAAGACCGTCTCGGGGGTTCCGGCACACCTGGTTCCCTCCCCCAGGCGCTTGGCAAAACTGCAGGCCGATGGCCAGGTAGCAGAGCGTCTTCCCGGAATGCAGATGCTCGCGCAAGTCCTTGACAGTCAGGACCCAGACGCCTCCCAGAGTCAAGAGGTGCCTCAGGAGCAAGACGCCCACCACGCAGAGCCTCCTCTCCACAGCCAGGCGGGTACCGCAACACCTCAGCGGCTCGGCTCCCCGGCGCTTGGCATTCCTCAGCAGGCCCAAGACGACGTGTCCCCACGCCCAGCGGAAGAGGATGTGCGGCAGCCAGCTCTCTCCCCAAAACCCACAGCCCCTGGGGCAGACAGCAAGGCCGGGTCACCGGAGGTGAGCGCAGAGGAGGCGGAGCAGTCTCCCACCTCACCCTCTCAAGGGCTGCCCCAGGGCCCTCCAGCGCCAGCTACATCCCTCAGCCCCCACCCAGGCCAGGACGAAGACTCTGGGGAAGCCGAGGCAGCCCCCACAAATCCTCCCCTCTCTGAACCTCAGCAGGGACCTGGTCCCACTTCCCTCAGCCCTCAGCTAATTCCGGATGCAGAGCCTGAACCTCCACCCAGCAGCTCCCTTCCTGACTCAGTGCAGGCGCTTGAAGGGTCCCAGCCGGCTCCGCAGGAAGAGGTCCCCAAAGCAGAAGGCATGCGGGTCGGCATTCCTTACCCAGAACTGCCACCCCCACAAAACTGGCCTGCAAACACGGAGCAGGCCCCAGCCAGGGAACCCCCCGCGGCTCTGCTGCCTAGAAGCCGGCTGGCCCCCACCAGGCTGCCCCAGCCTCGGACACTGGCTCCCCTCCAGAGTAGGAGGCCCACACCAAAGCTCCTCTCACCCAGCAGGGAAGAGGCGTTAGGGACAAGCTCAGATCAAACCTTGACTCCTTCTCCCAGGCCTCTGGGAACTCAGGAAGGAGACTCGGCTAAACTCCCTCCCATCAGCCCTCCCCATTCCAGACTGCCTGCAAGTCTGAGCTCCCAGGCCGCCCACCACCCTGAGCACGTCCAGGAAGAGAAAGCCAGTGAGGTGAAGCTCCCTCTCATCAGTCCCCCCACCCAGGAACAAGCACCCCCGCACATCCCCGGTGCTACCCAGGAAGCGGAGGCTCAGAAAGTCAGGCTCCCCCGCATCCCCACTCCCTTCGCGGAGCCCCATCACGATTCAAAGCTTACACAGGAAGGGAAAGACCCCACACGAGGCCATTCCTCCTCCAGCAAGAAAGAGACGGGCATGCAGGCCTCGCCCCACAGCCCGGGGCCAGTGCAGCAGATGGGAGCTAGGAAAAAAAAACTCGCTCTCCAAAGAGACACAGCTACCAGACCAGCACGTCTGAGAAGGGCGACCCCTGGGTCCCATAGTAAGGCGACTGCAGCGAGGGTGCCTGACCGTCCTCACCCCCGCCCTGCTGTAAGCCCTCGGGAGCACCAGAGAAGACAAGTCCGTACATTGGAAATCCCCGAGCCACCCCGCGCCAAACCATCACCTAACAGTCCTCAGTTCCAGGAAGAGGAAGGGGAGAAAGTTCCTCATTCCGGAAAGGAGGCCCATGCCGACAGACCTCACAGTGACCGGGCTCGGAACGCAGGCGTGTCCCAGAACGAACCAGCTTTGAAAAGAGAACTTTCTCAAGGATTGCATCAAGACAATACAGCCCCCCTCAGTGGTCACCCGCCGACTCAAGAGGGCCAGGCCCCACCCAAGACCGCGCTCCAGGCTGGACCGGCCTCCACTGAGTCACTGCAAGACAGTTCTGCCCCTGTGGCGCATCCAGGCAGAAAGGAACAAGATCATACAATGGGGAGACCTCGGAAGGGAGCGATTGCTTCAGAGCCCCAAGAGCGCGAGAGCACGGCTCCCGCCCAGCATCCCGATGAAGGGACACAAGCCCCGAGGGACACCAGCCAGGCCAGAGAGAGCTCTGTCCAAAGCGTCGATGCACTTGGTTCCAAGCAGCCAACCAAAGAGGAACAAACCCAGAAAAGTGGGGGTGTGCCCCAGGACACAAGCCCGGCCCCCGCCCAGAGTCGGGTGTCTGCTGAGGAGCAGGGTGACTGGGAGGGAAGGCTGCGGGCCCGGGGCAGCCAGAACATCAAGGTTTAAGCCCTGCCTGCGGCCCCCAGATTGTTAGTCTGTGCCCCTGAGCAGCGCTGTCACGGCGTGAGAAGCTGTGGCCGGAGCACTCCGAGTCTACGCGGTAGCCTGCTGCTGCAACCACGAGTCAGCACAGGTCTCCAGGGGCTGCGCTGTGCTGACCAGACACTGGATTCTAGAAGGCAGCCATCTGTGCCCCTGTGCCTCTTGTGTGGCAGAGGGAGACAGCAACAGAGGGTTACAGCTCTGTCGGCTGCTGCCATCCACCAGCTCCAGTCTGAAGGCTGATGTCAGCAAGGAGCCGTCGTGTCCAGACACAAATTCCAACAGGAGTTCCAACACTGGCTGAAGTAGGGCCGAACTGCATTAGGAAAAGTCACCAAGATACTAGAAAATTCTCACAAGGCCTACATTATCAAGGGACCCTGAAGCAAAAAGAACCCTGAGAAAGGAAGTCTTTGTTGGGGTCAGCTTTTTGGTGCAGTGGGTCAAACTGCTTCTTTAGATGCCAGCACCCCATATGGCAGTGCTGGCTGGAGTCCTGGCTGCTCCGCTTCCAATCCAGCTCCTTGCTAATGCACCTGGGAAGGCAACCGATATGGCCCAAGTACTTGGGCGTCTGCCACTCTTAGGGGAGACCCTGCTAGACCCCAGGTTCCTGGCTTCAGCCTGGCCTAACCTCAGGCTGTTGTGTGGCTATTTGGAGAGTGAACCAGCGAATGAGATCTCTCCCCCCACCCAACACTATGTCCTTCAAATGGATAAGTAAATCCTTCAAACACACGGAAAAGGAAGGAAGCCTTAGCTGTTCCTCTAGATGCCGAGCCTGCAGTTAATCTGTGGAATCTCCTGTAAGGAAGAGGACACGTCTTTGCGTTCATGACGCTGTGATGGAATGCTGCAGATTCCTGTTGGCTTATGTTGCCTGGAGCTTACTCTTGTTTGAAATGTCTTTCGAAATGAATCCCTTCTTTCTTTTGGATAGGAATCTCATGTAAATTAGCCCATGCCTTCATTATGCCGAACCATCTGGTTAAATCGGTTGAAGAATTACCGGGGAGAAAACTCGGGTGAATCAGTTCTTCATTTATCTGTTCATACCATCAGGATTCTTTGGCTGACAAATGACAGGAATGCAACCTGAGCCAGCAAATGCAGACCTATTGGAAGAGTGAGTATCTCACACAGCCCAGACTGTGGGATGGACAGGGGTGCACACGCAGGGAATCAGACTGGGACCTGTTATGGAAAGTATCACAACTCCTGCCATCTTCAGGACTCTTGCCATCTCCTGGACATTGGTCGTCTCTGTTTCCTTCTCCGTGTTGCCTTCATTCTTTGGACTCCAAATGACTGTGTATCAGTTTCTATACATGACCGTCAATAGCTCTCCAGTTTACATCTGCTTTTACCTCTGGCAGTTCCCATTGCCATGTTCCTTGAAGCTAAGATTAAAAGAACAAGTTCCAGGGAAAGACTTGATTGGCCTAGCTTGGGTCAGGTGCTCGTTCTTAAACCAATCCACTTTGGCCAGAGACACAGTCACTTTTAGACATTCCCATTGGAATGGCCCACTGCCATGGACAGAGCCTCCATTCCCAGACAAGGAAGAGTAATTGTGAGCTAGGCAGCAGAGCGGAGGTTAAACCCTTAAAAAGTTGCAAGATATTTATTGAGCTCTTACACAGCAACTGCTAAGCTGTGTTTGGCATCTGTATTTTAAAAATGTAACTGATAAATAAATTCTTGCATAAACATATCTTACACACAACCATATGAATATCAAATATTATGTCAAGCACAGTACATGAAATTGGTATTTATAAAATCCAGAAGGATTATAAAACAAAGAGGCCATATAACTCTAAAAATTATCCTCTGATTTACCTGGCTCGTACAAGATAAAAGTAGTAAGATGATTTTTAAAAGCACTATTCATTTTGATAAAGTTGGGTCATTGATTCAACAAGTGTTTATTGAGAACTTGCCGTGTGCCAGGCACTATGATAGTTGTTAGGTATAAGGATAATTAGGACACTTCAAGGAGCGCTCTCTTTTATCAAGGGAGTCAGACAAGATGATTCATTACAACACCACGTGATTAGGGCAGTTGGAGGTCTATTGCACGTGAGGCTACATTGGGCTTCCTGCAGATAAGAAAACACATTTCCAGGCCATCATAATAATACCGAGAAAAGACACTGAATTCAACCTGGGATAGAAGAATTGGCTCAGGAGACACCTCCAAAGGCAGGTCATCCTTCTGCTAAGGCTTCAAGTTTGCAGGATTGGTCATTGGACTGATGGGGAGGTGAAGTTTTCTTAGAAGGAACAGTGTATGCCTAAGCATAGAGGTACAAGTGGCCTGGCAAGGAACCTGTGCATATCCAATGGGCCTTTTGTGCTATGCTAAGAGCTTGTCAACTTGATCTTGTAACAGTGGGGAGCCAGTGAGTGGTTGACTTTGTATCTGAGAGGCAGCTTGTAGAGGTGACATAAAAGGTCAGTGTAAGCAAGGCAGTACAGGGAGCAGGAAGAATGGCTGGGGCACTCCTGCACTAGTCAGAACAGGATGGTAAGGAGAGGAAGCAGCGGGAACCAGCTCCTTTCTGTGAGCTGTGTGTGGGGCACTACACAGGCACCAATGCTTCACTTGGGTGTGGAACTGCAGAAATTCGCTCAGTTTCCTCCGTGGTCAACTCTGAGTCTCTGGAAGGCTTTTGGAGTGGCATTTTCATTAGGGTATGAATGAAGTGATAAGCCAAAGTTGCCTTCATCTGACTCGGAGGAAGTGTAGCTCCTGTTTCCTGGGATCTAAGCCAACAGTAGTAAGTTTTCTTATTTCTGTTTGTGATTTTCTGTTGGTAGTAGAAGTTTTTGATGTTTCAGATTCAGTGCAACTCAACATTTTATTTTTGTTCTTTTTTTTTAAATATTTATTTATTTGAAAGAGTTATAGAGAGGCAGAGGCAAAGACAGAGAGAGATAGAGAGGTCTTCTATCTGCTGGTTCACTCCCCAGATGGCCACCTCGGCTGGAGCTCACCAATCCGAAACAGGAGCCAGGAGCTTGTGCCAGGTCTTCCACATGGGTGCAGGGGATCAAGGACTCGGGCCATCATCTACTGCTTACCCAGGTGTATCGGTCGGGGATTGGATTGGAAGTGGAGCAGCTGAGACTCGAACTGGTGCCCATAAGGGATGCTGGCACTATAGGCGGTGGCTTTACCTGCTGTGCCACAGTGTCAGCCCCTTATTTGTGGCCTGAGGGAAAGATCATCAGCTTCTCTTTAGTGAGAGGATTTTACTGCCATTACTGATTTTCTTAGAATAAGGGAAATTTTTGATTTTTAAATGTAGAATATAAATATTTTTGAATTATCATTTTACATTCAAAAGTAAAGTCCATGTCAATTCCATTTGAGATGCCCCTCAGCAAAGTGATCTGTCGTGAAAAAAATATGGTGGACTCATAGTCACTACATTAGTAATATTGTCTTCAAGGTTCTTTAGAGAAGCATGGCACCTCAGTGTTCAGATCAACAAAGATAATGATTCCAGGGGGCTTGCAAGCGCCCTTCAAATATTTAAAGAGCTAAATTATTTTCCAAGGCTCAAAACATAAGTGGTTATGGGACATGATTGGGCAATTTGGAAAAGATGAGCAAGACAGAAATGGCCAATAAACATGTCAGAACGTGTTGAACCTCTATATAAGTTAATCCATTAAGCCCCAAGTTTTCAATATTCTGTGACTATTTCAGAGATACTATATTTATTTTAAAGTGACTGTGGGCAGTATATTCATTGCTCCATTTAAGTCTGTAATTTGTAGGAGTCCTATTTATAGGATGATGGGACATAAAGGGTTAAAACAGAATATACCTTTTTTGAGTATCAAATAGGCAAAGATGGAAGACAGATTAATGATTGTCCTCGCTGAAGTTTCCCATGCCATCTGTGAGAAAGTAATTGTTACACCTTTTCTAGGGGACAGTTTTACAAATATCTATCAAAGACTTAAAATTTTATATATCCTGTTTTTTAAGATTCACTTATTTATTTGAAAGCAGAGTGACAGGGAGAGAGGGAGAAACGGAGAGCGAGCTTCCATTTGCTGGTTCACTCCTCAGATGGCCACGATGGCCAGGTTGGATAAAACGTGAGGTCCCTCTTATGATCTGTGATCCATTCATTTACTACAACTAACTGTACTTGCTGGCTGTGAAGAGCCCAGCTGTGTGTTTTATTAAACATGAGGGCAGTTCAGAACATTCATGGAAAATGAAATTTAACAGACACTTATTTTGGTACAAGAAAATGTGAAGTCCACGCTTGGTTTCTTTCATGATACCCATTTTCCGTGAACTTTTTGCAAATCCTTCCGATACTGCTTAGTTACCAGCAAACTTCATACACTTAGGACTCATTTGCTCAGTGGCTCTCAAGCTTTTTGGACCAAGCTCCATAACCAGAAGTGCACTTGATAATATCATGACTCAGCAAACACATACAGAGGAAACACTCTTACAAGGGAGAGGATAGTCTGATACTTTCTGTGCTGCTAAACTGGCTTCACAATGAAGTTTGCCAGCTGCGGTTTGAGAAGTCCTGCCCTGCACACTCCGGAGCCGCGTTGCGCTGCTGTCCTTTGAGAACCTGTTTATCGGGCCACTGCCTGCTGGTGGCTGCCTTGGAGAGAAGTTGGATAGATTAGCACCATTTTTTGCTGAATTCCTCCCTGGGACAAGGATATGGGGTCTGGGCAGTACCGTTCCTTGTCCCGGTTGAGGCTCAGGATAAGATAGACCCAAAATTCATATACACAGTAGTAAGTTCTTATGGAAAGCTTAAGGGGAAATAATACTTCAAAACAACCTTGATCAATAGTGTTCTCATCTCCAAGTACTTAGCTGGCTTTCTTGCCTTTTGTTGCATGACAACCCCGAAAATGATCTTGTTACCATAAAAGATCTTCCAAATTCTACTTCAGATCATTGCACTATATATATAATATCCAGTATAGCATTCCGTGAATAAATTTGGCTGTTGAGTTCAATTTGAAAACCATAGTTGCAGAAATAATTTTTTCTGTATTGAGCAAGTATTTACAGAAGGGGATAAGAGGCTAACCTTTTTTTTTTTTTTTTTGCATTGATGATAGATAAGTAGTAATAAAAGACCAAACCTCTAAAACTGTTAATCTTAAGCTGATTATGGGAGAGCAGTCATGAATAGCAAAAGCCTAAGACTTTTTCTTAAAGATTATAGACTTAAGAATTCACAATGAGGGGCTAGTGTTGTGGCGTTAATGGTAAAACCATTGCCTGCAATGCCAGCATACCCTGTGGATGCTGGTTCACGTCTCCACGCTCCACTTCCCATCCAACTCCCTGCTGATGACTTAGGAAAAACAGCAGAAGGAGTATCTCGGCCCCTGCCACCCACATGAAGCTCCTGGCTCTTGGCTTTGTTGTAGCCATCTGAGAAGTGAACCAACAGATGGAAAATCGACCTCTCTCTCTCTCTCTCTCCGTCTCTCTCCCTCTCCCTCCCTCCCTCCCTCTCCCTCTTCCTCTCCCTCTCCCTCCCTCTCTCTTTCTCTCTCTCTCTTGCTTTTAAAAAAAATATATTTATTTATTTGAAAGGCAGAGTTCAGCAAGAGAGAGGGAGTGACAGAGAGAGAGAGAGAGAGAGAGAGAGATCTTCCATCTGCTGGTTCACTTCCCAAATGGCGGCAATGGCTGGAGCTGGGCTGGTCCAAAGCCAGGAACCAAGAGCTTCTTCCAGGTCTCCCGCATGGGTGCAGGCGTCCAAGTTCTTGGGTCAACCTCCACTGCTTTCCCAGGCACGTTAGTAGGGAGCTGGATTGCAAGTGCAGCAGCGGGGACTCAAATGCATGCAGCTTAACTTGCTACTCCACAGCGCCGGCCCCTGTTTCTGTCTCTTCCCCTCTCTTTGTAACTCTGACTGTCAAACAAATAAGTACATCTTTAAAAAAATCTGTGATGAAAAATAACACTAAGAGTCAGAGTAATCATTGGAAGTTCCAACTGTACTGCAGTGCAGCTGTGTGACCCTGCAGGTTCCAGAGTTCTCAGTATGAAGTGGAGACGATAATAATGCTGCCTACTTTGGGGAACTGTTGTGAGAGTTGAATAAGCCAATATATTGAAAAGCATCCAGAATAATGTCTGACACATACTAAGTGCTTATATGAGTACCTGTCAGAATTAACATGGAAGTAGCAAAACTTTTGTTTTGTTTTGTTTTGTTTTGCTGTTTGTCAGTAATTGAAATAGGACATTGTTCAAACCAGATGAAAGCATTTGGCAAATAGGATGTCAAACCTTGACATCAGCTGAATCAGTGGGCTCAAGCAAAATTAGAATAATGTTGGAAAGAAACTGTGGTTGGCAAAATGCCGTTTGTCAGAACACCCGGCTCATAATATAAGCTCAATAAATGTTACTTATGAATTTTATTATTTCATTATAGATACAATGAAGAGCGTTTGTATCCTGAGTTTCAGATTGGTTAGGAAGTAAATGCTGTCAAGTTACTGGTTCATATCACGCACATTTTGTTTTCTCTTTGTGATGGGATGAGACAAAGATGGGCCCTTAACAAGCTACCGGATCTACAGAACCGCACTTTCCAAGAGCAGAAGTCTGCTGAAGAAAGTGACCGCTGAAAACTTGTCCTTGAAGGATGAGCCCTTAGCTAGCAAAGGCCTCACTGACCAGAGGCAGCAGCACGGGGTTGGGTAGAAGTCACATCAGGAGCACAGCTACTCCCGTGTGCCGGCAGCCCGCGGTGGGTACTGAGCTCCGGAAGGCCTGCTCTCCCGCCTGCTGCCATCTTGGCTACCCCTTCCCCATGTCCTATGCAGTTCCTACACACCAGGTTTCCACTCTTGAAATTTACCCACCACACATTTTCTCACCTTCAGAGTGTCACCTAATCATTTCAAGATAAAGTCATCCATTAAAAAAATAAATCCTCGTCGTCTGGGTGTTCTGTGTTTTAATTGGAACATACTAGATACAGCGTGCAAATTTTGATCCATTAGTTCAACTCTGCTGAAACCATTACAAAGTAGGCAGTTTCATGGGAAAAAAGGCTTCGTACCTCACTTTTTCTTGATGTAACATTTGCTTCTGTTTAAATAACTGATGACTTCTCCAAACACTTGGTAATATAGCACTTTACTGTTAGAATAGTTTAATGAATGTATTCATTTTAAAATGTATATTGCGTGAACATTATTATATATTTCCATGGACTTAACATGGTTGCTTTCTACTATTAAAGCTTATTTTGCTATGAAAAAATTATGAATATTATATAAAATTATTATTTTTCTATTTGCTGTTCTTTCTCTCTTGGAAGCACTAATAGAGAAACTTTTAAGATGTAATTCTGCCCTGAAAACACGACTTCCTGTGGCACTGTGATAGTACTTCCCAGAGGACTAAGCTCTTTCCTAGTACTGCACCACAAGTTATCTGACTATACCATTAAAAATAAACATTTAAAAGCCTGCAGCAGATCATCAGTGTTTTAATTTGTTTTAAGCACTTTTCCTGGTTACATATTTCAGTGTTGATACTCTATGATGGGTATTTACATTTGATAAATGTATACTCATGTAGGCATGGTAGCCATAAATTACTTGTTAATTTTTAAAAACCTCCTTATGTTTTAAGCCCAATTTGAGTGGGAAAAACTGATTCTGAAATTATCCAGGTATCTGACGACTTGTGTTTGAAAATTAAAGTCTGCTTTGAAATCACCATTTCAAAATGCTTTCAGAGACAAATTCTAGTGTCGATACATTTTTACAAGGTTTTATTTGGGTTTTTAAAAAATGTATAATGCATATTCATCAGTTTCATGTTTTTGTGCAGGAGGGTGACTAAATATCAAGTAATCTTAATAATGTTGAAGCATTGGTCTTTAAAATAGGGACTTTTGTTTTTCAAAATACTCACAATTTGACCCCCAAAAGGTAATTTTGAAACTAGTCACTGACCTAGCCTTTTACCTGTAGTAGATCATCAACATCTTTTATTTTCTCCTCTCCTTTTCATACAGTAAAAAGCCCCATTCAGTCTGTGTGATGATATGATGTTAAACACACATATAAATGATTTATTTTTAGTATGTGGCCTGCATTTGTTATTTAGGTTGGATTCGGTACTTATTCTTTTAATGAAAGTGTTCTAACATTTTAACTCATCTGACTTCCAAGGAATATACGTTTAAATAAAAAGTCTAAGCGGTTTAGAATTAATTAGAGATGTACTTGCAGTTGCTCCAGATACTTCATTTATATTTTCCTGCATTTAGTAATGATACTAATCCATAAAATAACTTTAAAATGTTCCATGCATCATTAAGTTCATTTATGCTTCATTGTAGATGTTTAAACAAATTTCGCCAGCCTATATAAATGAAGAACTTGGTTCTTTCTGTCTACTATAAAGTGGTTTATTTTTTAAATGTTCCCTCAAGGTTGAATTAAATTTACATACTTTGAATAAGATCACATTAAGAAACTCTGTTGTGTTATATTATAACATTGGTATTTTTTTAATTAGGAAGTAAGGTCTTTTGCCCATTGATGTATTAAGACATCAGAAATTATATTGAAGACTGTATGCATGAAGCTCTTTATTATAGGAGTCCAAGCTATTAAACTGGTGGCACTGCATTGTCGTTTAATAGTAATATAAACACGTTATCTGTACCCAAAATGTTTTTGTTGCTGAGAAACCATTAAGACATTAAATTGTTGGAATCACAGCTGCATTGTATTATCAGATTGAATTTGTTTACACCATGGTACAGATGGCTTATGTCTTAGAAACCTAGAAAAAGGAACTGGGCACAAGTGCTGTATTTTGAGTAGGATGTATGTGTGTGTATCCAGCCCCACTGAGTTCTTTACCGATACAAGTATGTTAAGCATGCCTCATGGGGTCGGCTCTGTGATGTAGTGGGTAAAGCCACTGCCTGCATTGCCGGTATCCTATATAGGCGCTGGTTCAAGTCCCAGCTCCTCCACTTCCGATCCAGCTCTCTGCTATGGCCTGGGAAAGCAGTGGAAGATGGCCCAAGTGCTTGGGCCCTGCACCCTCGTGGGAGACCCAGAAGAAGCTCCTGGCTCCTGGCTTTGGATCAACTCAGTTCTGGTCATTGTGGCCACCTAAGAAGTGAACCAGCGAATGGAAAACCTTTTTCTCTCTCTCTCCCTCTCTTCCCCCACCCCCGCCCCGCCCCCCGTCTGTAGCTCTGCCTTTCAAATAAAATAAATCTTTAAAACAAACAAAAACAAACACCATGACTCTGGGTCCTAATTCAAACCACCCTCTCTGCCTGATGGAGAACACAGACACTCGAATGCTTTTCTTCACGTCTTTAGATATCAGTTCAGATGTCTGCACTGCAGAGAGACTTCCTTAGACCACCATGCTGTCTCTCTCTCTCTGCCCCCTTATCTGACAACTGTTTCTTCATCATGCTTATTACCTGGCATTATTTCATCTTATTTCCCTTCTCCAGCATTAGAATGTAATCTCCACAGATCAAGGCCTTTTTATTTACTGTTCTGTCCCCAGCATCCCAAGCACCATCTGGCACATTGTAGATGCTTGGTAAATATGACTTAAATGACTTTTAAAAAAGATTTATTTATTTATTTGAAAGGCAGAGTTACAGAGAGGCAGAGGCAGAAGCAGAGGCACAGATAGAGAGAGAGAGAGAGAGAGAGTCTTCCATCCGCTGGTTCACTCCCCAAATGTCTGCAATGGCTGGACCTGAGCTGATCTGGAGCCAAGAGCCAGGAGCTTCCTCCAGGCCTCCAACGCAGGTGCAAAGGCCCAAGGACCTGGGTCATCTGCTGCTGCTTTCCCAGGCCATAGCAGAGAGCTGAATTGGAAGTGGAGCAGCTGGGACTTGAACCAGTGTCCATATGGGATGCCGGCCCTGCAGGCAGTGGCTTTACCTGCCACACTGCAGCACCAGCCCCTCAAATGACTTTTTATCATAAAGATTTAACAGCAAGTGGTTCTACATACAACTATCTCCTTTTATCCCTTTGGTTGTGATCAATGTAGTTACTACACTATTCCATTGCAGATTGCTAACTATTAACTGGAATTATTTGGATACAATCCTTCCCCACGTTACACCACTTGAGTATCTCTTCCTTTTTCTCAAGATAGGTGCTGGGTTGTGGAGCTTTGGACTCTGCTTCCCTATCCTGCTTCAATACTTTGACTTGTCTGCAATGAATTTGACTTTGTGTCCTTGGTTTGGGATTGCCACACAGTATGATGGGAGTTCAAGCTCAGGTTCCAGACCAGCACACAGGGTAGAGAAGTCTGATTCCCGAGAGGCGTTTCAGTCCAGATGCGGTTCTGTGCCTGTCCATGTGCCTCGGTCTGCGGCTGAAGCTTCCAAACACTGCCTGTTTAGCTTCCCACCCTATCAGGGCACCCTGACCTTGCCTGCCAAGCACTAAGACCGTGAGAGCCCTTCTCAGCCCAGAAGTGTCGGTGCCTCAGCCCCTGAAGCCTTCTGACCTCTTGGTATCAATTCCCACGATGGTGACTTCATTCGTAGCACCTTGGGATTGTTCTTGCTTGGTTTCAGCCTTTCTGTGTATTAAAAACAAAACTAGCTTCTGTTTACAGTTGTATTTTTGTCTTTGACTGGGGGTAGCCTCCCACATGGGCTCAGCCAGTCATATTGACCCGGTCCATGTGGGAAAGCAATGCTCTTGAAACCTGTTGCTGCTCCTTTGTATCCAAGGGCCCTCTTAGAGATGAGCAACACTAAGACATTTATAGTCATAAGGGCTAGATCTCTGGACCTTATCATTGTCTTAAAGGAAACGTTAGACATTATTTATAAATTCTGTTAAACAGTGACCTGCTTTGTATTTCAACATTCCTTTTCAGAATTGCATATTTTATTTTCCTTTTAGCCTTTTGGAAGTATTTTGTCCATAGCAAGACATTGTAAGGGTGACTTTTTCAGTCAGCAACTAGAACCCACTGTTTTTTGCCAGGAGTTTTTCTTCCTTTAATTGCACTCACAAGCCTGTCCCGACTGAATGCTAGGACTACTCAGAGGATCTGTCCAGTGGGTTTTGTGCACTGATTTATTATTATTATTATTTTACTCTATTTTATTTTAAAAGTTAGATACACTGACCTTAAGCATATCATGTATTATGTTTGGACAACTATAAAAATACAGAACAGTTCTACCACTTGAGAAATACCCTTATTCTATTTTATGCCTTTTATTTTAAACTTTCTTTTTTTTCCTCCCAGATGTTCAGAAGTCTTACCTGAAGTCAGAGGAGCCTCCCAGGAAGATGACTGTTTCAAATGTGAAAGATTTCCAGGACTCCACAGACAGAAACTACTTTGTTAAATTATGGCCCAAACTTTCAGCCAAAAAAACCCCAGTGGTAAGGCAGGGGAAGAAGGGGTAAAGCCGCAACTGAACCTTGTACGAACTCAGACAAAAATGGGCTTCATGTTTTGAAACCAATACGTTTCCCCCAAAATTTTTCCCTTGCTGACACCAATTGAGAACAAAATTTTCCCGTTCTTTATACATCTCTAAGAACAGACATTGATTATAGAGTATTGAAGATTTTGTGAATACCTTTCCCCCAAGGCTCCCAGTGAAAACTGTGACCCTCAACTCCTCGTTTAGCAAGAACAGAAAAGCACCTTGGTCATAGTAATGCAGTAGAGCACATCTGAGTTTGAGTGTTTGGAGTCTGGGCCTGAAAAGTGAGTCTACTCAAAAAAAGAGTTTTTTTTTTTTTAAGGAAAATTTTATTTGAGGGAGTTACAGGGAATGAGAGAGGGAGGGAGGGAGGGAGAGAGAGAGAGAGAGAAACAAGAGACCTTCCATCCACTGGTTCACTCCCCCAATACTCCCCCAATGACTGCAGCAGGTCAGGATGAAGCCAGGAGTCAGGAGCTTCTGCTGGGGCTCCCACTTGGGTAGCAGGGGCCCGAGGACTTGAGCCCATCTTCCACTGCTTTCCTAGGTGCATTTGCAAGGAGCTGGATCAGAAGTGGAGCAGCTGGGACGTGGAATGCCAGAGACACAAGTGGCGGCTTAACTCACCATGCCACAACGCGGGTTCCCCAGAGTTCATGTTTTAGGACTTAGTCCCAACTCATTTCCCTGAGAATGTGGAATAATCAGGATGTGGGGGAGTACTCAGTGCACAATCGGCACTGCATTCCGATTAGATTTGTTTTCCTGTGATGATTTGGGAATACACAAAGTCTTACATAGTTACAGTTCGCCACAGAAGGGGCAGATCTTTAGTTTGGGTTGTCAGCTCTCTGGTTGTGTTTCCCCAAGACAGTCCTGTTGTAAGCAAATAGTTGCACCATCTTCCAAAGTTAGAACAACTGGGGGCCACCGTGATGTAGACCGTAACACTGCTGTCTGACGTGCCGACATCCCACAGGGGCGCCAGTCTGAGTCCTGGCCACTGCACTTCTGATCCAGCTCCCTGATAGTGTGCCTGGGAAAGCAGTGGAAAAGGGCCCAACTGCCTGGGACACTGCCACCCACGTGGGAGACCTGGAAGAAGCTCCCGGCTTCAGGCCTGGCCCACCTCCAGCCATTACAGCCATTTGAGGAGTGAACCAGCAGATGGATGGCCTCTCTCTCTGTCTCTCCTCCACCTCCCACTGACACTCTGCCTTTCAAATAAACACACTTTAAAAACAACAACAGAAAAGAACAGTTGGCAGTGGTGTGTGAGAGACTGGTGGCCCGTCCCTTCCAGCCAGGAGGCCCAGGCTGTGGTGCACACGGCCGTAGCTGCACTGTATTCTGCTCTGATGAAGTCGCGATAGGTTCTGTGTGTTCTAGCGCAAGAGGCGGATGCCTCTGCCCCTGTTCATCTGTGTCCCCTTGTCCCCACGCCGCCAGCTTCCTTCTCAGGAGCTTGAGGGAGCTCTCACATCTGACCCAGCACCTTCTCTCTGCCTTCTTCACGCTGCGCCCACGGTTCCTGACAGCTCTGTCCCTTTGGTTTATAACGCTGATGGCAGGAGACTCTGATTAGCCCAGCTGGACTTCCGAAGCCACGCCAGGCAGGTCGTATAGACTGCTGTGCCATCCCCTGTGGGATGTGGGGCCACGTTTAGTGCAGATCCTGGCTTGCTAGCAGCAGCAGTGGGTGGAGACGCTGCAAACATCTGTAGTGATAGGAGTGTGTGCCATGATTCTTGAGCGCGTAAATCTTACTTAGTCAAAATAAGTTAAGTCTGGGGTTCTTCCCTTCAACCAAGGTCTGTAGTAAATCAGGCGCCTCTCTGTCTCTCTTTTTTTTTTTTCTCTCTCTCTCCCCCTCCCCCCTTCCCTCCTTCTCTTTCTCTTTCCCCTTCACAAATAAATTAAAACTAAAGAAAACCCTGAACTCAGTTCCCAGTTCCAGGCTTCAGCCCCCTGCCAGGAACTGCTGCAGGCATTTGGGGAGTAGATCAGCACCTGTGTTCTTTGTGCTCTCTCCCCTTCCCCTTCCCCTTCCCCTCCCTCTCCCCCTCTCCCCCTCCCCCTCTCTTCTTCCCCTTCCCCTCTCTCTCCCTCTATCCCTCTCCCCCTCTCTCCCTCCCTCTCTCTTCCTCCCCTTCCCCCCTCCCCCTCCCCCTCTCTTCTTCCCCTTCCCCCCCCTTCACTTCCCCCACCCCTCCCTCATCCCCTTCCTTCTCCCCCTCCCCCTCTCCTCCTCCTCCTTTTTCGTGGGTTAGGAAAAGTGCTTCTTGCTCAGTCAAAAGCCTAAATCTCAAACTGTTCAAGGCTGTTGATTTAATGTGTGCGTATTTTCCTTTGGAAACTATCAAAGAGCCTTTGAGCGTGTTGGACAGGGCAGGGGTTCCTGTGGCTCCTGGTCTTCTGTTTGTGGTTTAGGGTCTGTTGCTCTGAAGCACCCCTGCATTGGTGTTGGAGGTTGCATTCTTCCTCTCCTGCTCAAAACCGCCGCAAAATTCACCACAGCAGTGAGGCTTTTCCGTATAATCCTGCCAGTAGGTTATTCTGATCACTATTCCTCTGAACCTTTGCCAGTTGAGCTGGGTATGGCAGAGGGCTGAACTGACACACCCGACAGTTCTGTGAATTAAGACAATAGCATGAACCTCTGAGGTCCGTGAAGACGGGAAATCGAGCGAACCATGCCTGATTTGGGTTGTAGCTGAAGAGCCACCGCAGAGAAGGGTGAAGAAGAAGCACTCAAGACTGCACAGGAACTACAGCTTAGATATTCTCATCCCTGACAGTACGGTCAGGAGTCCTGCATGGCCTGTGTACCTGGCATAGGAAATACCCCATAGGCAGTTTTGAAAATACAGTATTTGCTACACAATGAAAAGTAACCAAGCACACAAGGAGATGGGAAAACATGCACTAGGCATGACAGAATCAACCGATGACGGAAGCAGGCCTCACAGGGTCTTCAGGTATTGGTAATATCGAGTACACAGTTTGGAACGTCCATGTGTTGCTGTTATCAAACCCAAATGTTAACATGATTGTATTTACAATCTTCCAGATACAAGGAAAAACGGGAAATTTCAACCAAAAACCAAATTGAGAATTTAAAAACCTGGAATGACTGTGTGGGTTTTTTTTTTTTTTGAGGTGAGGAAGAGGTGGAAGTAACTGAAATTAATACCAAGTTAAGACACAGCTGAAGAGAGAATAGGTTGAAAGATTGTTAGGAAAAATATGTCTTAGACAAGAAGATGGAAAATACAGGGAAAAAGGAAAACACATAAAGCAAACGATGAGAAGATCTGACATGTGTTATAGAATCCAAAAAACAGAGATGAGGGGAAATGGAAGAGAAGCAACATTTGCATAAAAAAATGGAGAAAATTTTACAGTCCTTCCAGAAATCATCAAGCTACAGATTAGAGAAATTCTGAAAACCTAATTTAGACACATTTATCTTGAAATTATATTGTACCAGAAATAAACACAAAAACCTAAAGAGTAAAGGGAATGGAGGATACGTTCATAAGAGCAGCAATTCAGTTGACGGCTGATTTTCCAAAAGAACCGGAATCGCCGGCGCCGCGGCTCACTAGGCTAATCCTCCGCCTTGCGGCGCCGGCACACCAGGTTCTAGTCCCACTCGGGGCGCCGGATTCTGTCCCGGTTGCCCCTCTTCCAGGCCAGCTCTCTGCTGTGGCCAGGGAGTGCAGTGGAGGATGGCCCAAGTGCTTGGGCCCTGCACCCCATGGGAGACCAGGAGAAGCACCTGGCTCCTGCCATCGGATCAGCACGGTGCGCCGGCCGCGGCGGCCATTGGAGGGTGAACCAACAGCAAAGGAAGACCTTTCTCTCTGTCTCTCTCTCTCACTGTCCACTCTGCCTGTCAAAAAATAAAAATAAATAAATAAATAAAAGTAAAAAAAATATTAACAAAAGAACCGGAATCAAGAAGGCAGAAGAATATATGTGAAGTGATAGAAGAAAATTATTGCTAACCTAGAATTTTGTACCCAGTAAAAATACCCTTCAAAAGTGAAGGTGAATTAAAGTTCTTTCTAGACAAAGGAAAGGGAATTTGACACAGAAATCCTAGATGAATGAAAAAATGTTAGAGAAGTTTCCTTAGCTAAAATGAAATCTGATCAAAGGAACTGAAGGGCAGATATGCCAGAAAAAAGAGCAAGAGAAAGGTAAAATGAGAGTAAATCTAATGAGATCTTGACTTTAAAAAAAGAATGGTGATTTCAAAATATAGAGAGAAAATCAGATTTTATAAAATAAAAATATAAAAATTAAAATGTACAGCACCAGTATTATTGAGAAAGGTGTAAATGGAAATGCTATGTTCCAGAATTTTTCCATTTGAATTCTAGGAAGAGGATAAATGCAATAATTAATGTTGGAACACTTGAGACTTTGATGAGCTAGGAACATATATTTTAATCTCTAGGGTGACACTCAAAGATTAGGAAATGTATATTTTTTTAATCCAATTGGAGGAAGAAGTGAAATAATTAATAATTCAATGTTGATCCAGAGGTACTAGTCAGTTCGATAAACTAGGAACAGGGATAGTGTAAAGTTTAGAAACACCAAGTGTTTTTGACAAGATTATTAGATAAAATGTCAATATGCAAAAAAATTATGTAATAGCAACAATTTTTCTAAAGATTTTAAATGTATTGCCAATAGCATCTAAAATATTTTAAAATAAATCTAATGTAATATATATAATAGTTCTATACAGAAAAAATGAAGCCCTAAATAATTAGAGGAATTGACCATGTTCGTG